AAGGAACAGAATTAATTCTTGGTCAGTAAGGGGTTGTAGAGATTGTTAATTTTTTTTCGAAATCATGAACTAATCGAGGTAATACCACTAATGAAAACCTAAAGGCACTAGACGGCCGTTTCATCCCAGTATGGGACTCCTTAAAGGTATGTATCCACGATCCCGCACGCGGGACCCGAACCTAGGACCTTTGATCTCGCGCGCGGACGCCCAACCTTCAGACGATTGAACTGGCACCCAACGGCGTTAATATCTAACGTCAACCAATCCACGTTATTGTGCGACCATCTTCCATTATCTTCAGTAAGCAACTGCCTCACAGCTTCTCACTATAATTCCGAGAATTACCTCTCGAAACTAGTCACTGGTGATGGTTGTCAGTATAGGGTTGTAGAGGTTGCGCAATACTGTGGATTGGTTGACGTTAGATATCAACACTGTTGGATGCCGGCTCAATCGTCTTTAGGTTGAGAATTTGCGCGCGAGGCCGAGGGTCCTGGGTTTGAGTCCCGCGTGCGGGACCGTGAATGCATACTTGCTTGGACAAAACGACCGTCCAATGCTTTCAGGTTTTCAATGGTTGTCTATCATTGATCGCTTCATGATCCCAATCAATACTTAATGTTACTGACGTTTCTCATTTTCATTCGAAAGAATTCTAATTCTCAACAATTGTAAATCTCATTTTACACTAATTATCTAATACAATAGCGAAAAATTAATTTTATCACACGATTTCTATCTCGTAATTTACTTATTTGTCTGTACGGTATTATGACAACTGACTAAATCTTCTATGAGATAAGTTGAATTTTATTTAAAAATTAAGCGAAACGTAGTGTTCAATAATAAAACATTCTGCCTTTTAAAATGTCGCTATTCCTCATATTTTCAATAGGTTACAGATTGATAACTGACACATCTATATTACTCTGAATGTATTAATTGTTAAACTGAAATTATTCCTTCAATTAGGGTTGAGGATGATAAATGCTTATGTAATAGGTTAGTTTTTATTTTAAAGAAAACAATGAAGATACACTAATCGGTTTATTTTCTCTGTTTAAAATATTAATAATATATGTGATTACACATACTTTGATGAATTAAATTTGATTAGAATAAGTGGTTTTAATGAAATCATCTTAGTTTGTAAATCATCTGGGAATAATCCTAGTTGAGATATCATTAAAATCATGCAATACTGGACTGTTGTTTCCTACTGGTATGGGACTCGTTAGCAGCACAAACCAACGACTGCTCAATAGATCGAATCCTGAATTTTCAGGTTTTGTTCTGAGTCAAGTGATCCGGAATGCTTCTTTTTCGATTTAATTTTTAGTGATCAAATTTATTCAGTTGGAGATCCATTGAATGTGATATATATCTGAATCACTGGAAATTAATCCAAAATTGAGATGGTGGAGAAGATTTGTAGCTCATGTGGATGATTTTGATAGAATTTCGTTCCCTGAGCTGGATGTTTGGATCGTGGATCTGAATGAAATCATCAACACAAACATCAGGTTTATGCTTCATAAACAAACCATCCAGCTCAGAGAACAAAACTCTATCATAATTAATCTGAAATTATTGAAATTCTTTCTTCATAGTTAGTTATATAATATACCCTTGTGGGCAAGGGTAATTTTATATTGACTTTCAGGAGAACCAGACACCATCCAGAATTCCACGTGACAACCCAAACAGTACAGCTTAGTCCCGTTTGACAGGAGACCCAGACACCGCCCAGGCTTAAATTTTATAACCTGAGCAGTACAGCTCAATCCCGCTTCACAGGAGAATCAGACACCGTATAGGCTTTAACGCTACAATCTGAATAGTACAGCTCAATCCTATGGTGCAACTACACAGGTACCAAGCACCCTGGTGGACCATTCACACCATCCATATACACATTCACGTCACATGTATAGTTATTCCAATCAATGATCGCGTGAATCAATTATGCACATCACGAACAGGCCAAAGTTGTCCTATTCCACTTACACGACAGTGAAACTCATTAATGTCGACATTTTTGATTTAATTATCTGAAACTTATGTAAATGTTTAAGGTTTCCATTATACATGTCCTGAATATATATGAATTTTTGTAGAACATTTAGTTAATATATGAAGTAGTCTTATAATTTTCTAGTCTGTTAGACAGATCATACTTTATACATAATTTAAAAACTATTAATTTTTTAAAACAATGAAAATGTTTCTCCAATCAAAATTGTTATTGATGACGGATTTATTACCGACTCCCCCCCCAGAAACCTTAACATATATCTTCAAATAAACAGGGTTTATTCTATTATTATTTCATGTAGAATCAATTATTTTTTTATGCAGGGAAGAAATTAAGTAAAGCTGAAATAAGTAAGAAAAAGTTCACATTTTAAAATGTACACACATAAGGAAATAGGGATTTCATTCTTAATAAAAGACATATAAACGATGATGTCTAGCGCTATCGTGACAACAATTTGTTTCTATTCACTTGATATTGTTTTACTTGAGTCCCAGAGTGAACATCAACTCTGAGATGCAGGTATATCCAGCTGACGAGTCCCAAACAGGACGAAACGCGCGTCCTGGATTCCACTGCTAACCACTATCCATCTTTGCTCATAATTTGTTTCTATGTTTACATCATATTTTTGATCTAAAAAAGCAATATGAAAATCAATAATGACATCATATTTAGATGGTTCAATGTGAATGGTTGATATAGTTCGTCGTTTAAATATTAGGGACTGTTATAAATCGGATTGTGAAGAATAATGTTTAAATCAATTCTCATGTATTACCAGTTATGCTTATTGTGGTTAAGAAACACAGTATTCAATGTTTACTAAAAAGGCTTCAATATGGCATAAATGAAAATTTCACATTTATTAATACATTAGTGATCAGATTCTCGAAATTTTATGATCTTGAATATTGAAGCGACTCCATAAAGCATCCATGAATATGATAAAGTATTGTGTAAAATCTATAAATTCAATTTGAAGATAAAATATAAACTAAAAAGGATCGTATTATTGTGGATTAACTGATTTAAAGTATGATTTCAACAGAGTGAAAGAGGCGGTGATTTATTAAAAATGTATTGAATAACAGGGTTTGAGAACATTATTCTATAGGTTGGATCATGAATAGATGTTCATCAGATAACTGTTGGGAACCAGAAAGCACTTGATAGATGTTTGGTCATGGTATGGAACTCCTCAGCAGTGACCAAGAGCCGTTGGGGAATCTATCCTAGGACCTTCAGACTTCTTGGCGAGCTCTTGACTTTTAGACCACTGAGCTGAGCTCCACTGGTATACATGTTTTTTTTAGTAAAGTCACGACATCACACAGTCATCTGTTACAGTTATTATTGGGTAAAGACTGCCTCACACCCAACGTGATTGGACTCCACTAGTAATGAATTCTAATGAAACTCCATGAGTGATTTCTCCAATTTAGTCACAAGTGAGCACATTATTATTACGAGTATAGGAGAATGGTGGAGCTAACTGAATTTCATTGTTTATATCAAGGAGAAGCGAGCCCTTATGACTCAGTGTAGTGAGATACAGTGTTATCGCTTTCTAATGGTTTATAACAAGTTTATTTAATTCATCATGTATACCTATGATGACAAGATTCTTATTGAAGACAATGTATTTTTCTGCTTCTTCGGATTACAAGGACTCCTAAAGTGGACATAGATAATCTAATGAGTAGGTGTACAGAAGAAACTTAACGAACGTATTATTCCATCATGTTACGAATCTTTGAGATCATTTTATTTCAAATAGATTCGTTCTCGTTTGAACCCAAATTTCAAGTTGTCGATGAATATTTCTAACCCAAGCTGAGGATTTTGAACTTGTTGTAAGGTCATTCTTGAAGTTTAGTGAGAAAAATTTATCAGTGAAGTTCAAATTCCTTTTATCATGTTATTCAAGTGATTTTATAAAAATGTTATTATCTGCTTAGTTTACATTTGGGATTTTGATTAAGTTACAAGTTATTGTACAGCTTCATGACTCTTTTGCTTTGCCCGATGATTATAATTATTAAATATTTAAAGTTATGCGTATGTAAGTACTTTGAGAATAAAATTTATTTGTTGAAATATATCTACGCGACTTACATTACATCACATTGTGTTCAGTACCTAATTTGCATCCATGTAGATTACACTGGAAATATTTAGGGAGAATTTATTGAAGCATGTAGATAATGGCGTGAGAACATTTGGCTATTTGACTCCTCTAAAATTGGGAAAAAACCAAATAAAGTATTCATTATTCCAGTTTAAAGATCAAAATAAAGTCTGAAGTTAGCTACACGTTGAAACTTTATTTTATGAGTTGTGGGGGAGACCTCAGTCTTATCCCTTTAAAAACACTCATAATTTGTAGTAATATACTTTTTACATCTCTGTTTTAATTATGCAAGTTACTCCTGGAGATTCCTAAAAATCAATATTGTCAACTGCCTCTTCATCTCAAATTTTATCTTCTGTATGTTGTTGCGATGATGCTGTTTAATATATGGCAAAAAACGCAATCTACATCTTGTTGATCCTGATGAGTAAGGTCAGGTGATCTGGTGTGGTGAATGAACTACGGCCCAGAAACCTGTTGACAATCATTCCCGAATGTTCAGATGCATTTTCGTGATGTAACAGTCACTCGTCGGGGTTACATAATTCTTTTTCATGCATTTCGCATACTTTTCTTCCTCCGGTAGGAAATTAATAATCAAAAACACCATGAATGTCAGTTATTTACTAAAAAGAGCATGTATGTTCTCCTGTATTCATTTAATTAGTTAATGGCTACGTCCACTTAAGTCCATTCACACGGGATTTCGAAACCGTTTCTGAGCATGAATAACAGTAAGTCCGTCTTGGTCATAACAGGATTCTCTCAGGATCATCTTTATTGAATTTTCCAAATTTGATTTCTGTAATTTATTTCTCGAATTAACAGACCTATGGGATTCGTGCACCAAAAAAGTCAATTCTTCGATCAAGTTCTCGTATTAATCCCAATTTGAATTCGTTAGAAGATAAAACTTTTGATTCAGATACTGCGACTAGTGTGTCTCTGGTTAATCTACGATCTTCACCTTCGGAAGTCAGGCGTAGATTCCATCCAACAAGTCGATCATCACATTTAAATGGTAGTGACCAATCAGATAGTGAAAATGATGATCATTTAGGTCGTGGTCATAGAAGCGTTTTGTTTCTTGACCAGGTTGCAGCGCCGGATCGATATCGCACATCAAGAGTCTTAGATTTTGATTCTGAACCAAGTAATTATTCCACAGTTAGCCGTAGGTCGCCATCATTTCCTCGAACTATCAGTCCATCATCATCATCATCATTAGCCTCCTATCCAGCTAATTATGAACCATCACCGTTAATACGTAAAAAGAATTTTGATGATCCAGGTATTGAGCTAGTCAGTTGTAGTCCGCTTTCGTGTTCATCAATGAATAATCGCCAAGAACACCACCATCATAATTTTAAAATGCATAAAATTAAACCAGCCATAAAACGTCTATCCTATTTGAACGCATTTGGTAGAAAACATAGAGATTTGAAAAGAGGCAATCTTACACTGATATTAGATCAGGAATTGGATGGCGTTGATGATGGTAGCAATAACGATGATGATGATGATGATGACAGTAATAATGATGAACACGAGAAATCCATGAACAATACAATGAACAATATGTCTATGAAGAATTACCACGTCTAGATACTCTGAAACTGTCATCAAATGATTCATATTCAAGTGATGTACATGATATATTGACTGTACCAAATTATGGAGATGATTACTTCTATAAAAATATTCGGAAAAATGAATTAAATCATTCAAGAAATATTCTAAATGAACGAAAAGGAACAATTATCAAGGTAATCAATTTAATTTATAGTGAACATACTATTTAACTCTTTTAAAGTAGTATAGTTCTTTTTTCAAAGGTTATAGTTGGGTGTAAATGAGTAACTCGTCATTTGAGCAAACGTCTAACGTTTAATTACTTATTACTTAAAGCTTTAAAGAACGAAAGTTGAAGATTAAAAATGGACAGAAATTATCAGTGAATCTACTGGGACTATAGTATCAACTACTTTTTAAAGAGTGTACTCTGAAGAGATTTTAAATAAAAATATCTTGATCAGTGAGATATTACTTAGTTTACAGTGCTTTCTACCTGGTGAAATTATATTTGTAGTATAGAAGGTTCGTTGCAACTACTGATCTTATAGCTCACAGCACGGACTGATCTTAATTTAACATTTATTGAAAGCCAATGAGCATTGGACATATGTTTTATCCTGATATTGAAGTAGATTTCAATAGTAGCAAGAAATAGACGTCCAATGCTACTGAACCATTCACATTATAAATAGATTATTAACGTATCACGGTATAAGATGATAAATCTACCATGAGATGCTTGTTAATGAAATTCTCTGAAACTGACTCATTTGTAGGTATTACCAGGTTGGAAGATAGGAAACGAAAATGTGATTATGACGTTTCAAACTTTTCCTGTTAGCCATTTATGAATAGTGCGGTAATAAAAATAATTTACTATTTCTCATAGAAACATTCACTGAAAATTTAAGTGAATTTTCCCTTATTTTATTTGTATTTTAATGGAGTTTTACGTGTGACAGATCATAACAATCAGAATGGTTAGGACAAAAGTGATAGGAATTATTTGTTCATATCTTAAAATGCATGTCACTTACCGAAAGGCTAATAACGTCGGTTGTTACAGGTCCTCTTACAAACAGGAAACATAATCTAAATAGATAAATAGCTGTGAAATACTGGAAACTCGTCTCATTCTATTTAACATGTATCTGAATCCCAGTGTTGATGATTGCCTTGACACTCAAAACAACTTCAATTGTCTTAATCGCTAGTGCTTTATTCTTCTGGTTGCGATGTTAAGATTGATAGGAGTATTGTTCCGTTGTCGACATTCAGAGCCACATTAGATTAGTCTCTTTTGGTACATTGACTCCTTTGATGTATATAGAATGTTGTCTACAACAATTATTTAATTATCAAACAATAAGACATAGGTTCTGAGATTTATTATGACCTTATCATTTTCGCAAGCGACGACAGAGAATATAAAATCGACTACTGAGATTTATCAATCATTTCGCAATGTGCTAGTTGTGTCTTATAGTACTCGATTTTATGTTTATTGATCGTGATGCTAATTCACACGCGTTCGCTTGATGATCCATTCACTCAAGGATGATAAATTTTTAGTTTCACGATCTCCTATTAACGACAAACTTAAATACACATTACGAAAAAATAATGGTCAATGAACATAATTTTACGATGTTTTCTAAACAAAATCTTTAACTGCAGATTGATCGTCATAAATCTGAAGTTCATCAGTCTGGATTCATGTATCATCCTAATCAATTAAAAGTTAATTCAAAATACAATTCTAATGGTATTGATTTCAACAAGAAAAACTCAGCACAATATCGTTCATCCAATTCAGAACGCACTCCAACTGGCAGTACAGAAACATTAGTTGATTCATCAAGAAAATCATCATCAGAAATATCCGTCATCCATATAGATGAACAAAGTAAACTATCATACACAGGTTATTCAAAAACTGTACAAAGTTCTAACTCTTATCACAATCGGGTGGTTGATACTAATAAAGATGGTTGGAAAACAGTGTCAGTTGACCAGTCACAAAAACACACTGGTAATAATAATAATAACGAGCGAACGGCAAATCCACAAAGTCCTCGAATCATTTATGTATCTAAACGGAATGAGAATAATAGTAAATTATCTACTAACCCGAATAACATTTCTATTTCTGGATTATCTAATTCAAGTACATTGGGAGCATATTCATCACACAATTATGAATCAGATCAAACTCAAATGAATCAATTTAAACATTCTAATCATATTGTTTCTCCAGTTCGTAAAACAAATGTGGTTACTATTCACTACAGTGATAACGATGACTGAAAATATAATCTTCGAATTGTATTCCTAATACTATGAATTCTTTGTTGAATACTTACGGAATTACTGTTTATTCTTTTCGAGTTAATCTAGATTATCCTTCATTATAATAATCTACTGTTTATCCTATCAGAATTTCTTATTATCTTAAGTACTCAGACTATGATAGTTTACAGATAAGAAACATTATTTTGTAAACGAACAAAAAAATGTATAAATTCTTTATTCCTATTCAATGACTGGGTGAATATATATATATATATATATATATATATATATATATATATATATATATATATATATATATATATATATATATATATATATATATATATATATATATATATATATATATATATATATATATATATATATATATATATATATATATTTAAACTGTTTGCTGATTGGTCAATTTGACATTGCTAAGCATTAGTTCTTTGAGAATCAATCGAAATTGATCATCCAACGAAAAGTTAAATGGATGGAAAAGATGACTAGAAATTAGATCTATAGAATAACAACAATGTTATTGTTTTGTTCTATTCACTAGTTTTTCTAGCGTCTTTATAAACATAGTTTTATGTATTGAATAAGTAACTAATTAACTCTAAGCTTATTAACCACCACCAATAAAGAAGACATTATCAGAATGGGTTTTGTGGAGATTTTTAGAAATTTTTAGAATCTCCACAAAACCCATTCTAATAATGATAATCACCTGCTCACTAGTGACTGACTTCAGGAGACACTCCTGGAGTTTTAGTGAGAAGTCGTTACCAGTGGAGTTCAACCAGGTCTGTTGTGAGATAGGAACTCACTGAAGACAATGGTGTACGGTGGCGCAATTTCGTGGATTGGTTGAAGTTAGACATTAACACCGTTGAATGCCGGTCATCTCAGTGGTGTAATGGTTAGACGCTCGCGCGGGAGACCGATTTGTCCTGGGTTCGAATTTCACGGGTTGGGATTGTGGATACGCACTGTTGAAAGTCCCATACTAGGACGAAACGGCCGTCTAGTGCTTCCAGGTTTTCCATGGTGGTCTAGCTTCAATTGACTCATGATTTCAACTTGTGAAAGAAGACATTGTTTTAATACATTTCTAAAATGAGAATGACCATTTTATACCAGTGTATATATGCCGTAGCGAATATTGATTAATATACTTCTGTTAAGAAGTAAGTTGATGTATGTAAACGTTATTCTTTAAATAACTGCAACTTATAATATAATAGATATTTTAATAACAATTAGTTGAATGGATCACATTGTTAAGCGACACTAATAGGTCAACAAGTTACAAATGCAATCATTTATTGATTTTGATTTTCGTTCACTGATCACCCCCTCCCCACACTCAGTTACACTTTAGAACAAGTTACTTATAAGTGTATTATTTTCAGTAAAATTTACCTCTCCCTATCATCTATTTCATCGGATATATCTATTTGAAATGAATAAAATATACTGACGACTGAATAGTCAGTTTATTCTCATTTTTGATTTTTAATAAAATCATTCAGATTTTTCTTATTGATTGAAAGTTTGAAGTACAGTCTGCAATGTGCAGACAAATGACTAGTCAACTCGAATAATCGTATGATTTGTATTAACGGATTATTGTTTAATATTGAGGAATTTGAAGGTGGATTGATACTGCATAACCATTTCATTAAGACAGAGCTGAATAAGAGTCATAATACCTTCTTGGTCTTAGACTAACTGTTAGTTTTTGATATATCAGTCAAGTCAAGCCGTCAATGGTCAATGAGCAAAGATAGACATACCTGATTACACTAAATATAAGAGACCATCTTTTATGTAAAACTGATTCCCACTTGTCAACCGCTTTCAGTTTGTATCATGATAAGTTGCCGTTCTGATTTATATTTGGATCCTGATAGCTTATTGGACAATTGATTCAAGTTTATCACGGAACCAAGTATCGTGTCTTATTGAGTTCACTGATTTAATGTTTAGTTCTACCGATATAATGATCAGTTATCAAGTCATATATTGAGAATCTAGTATTCAGTGCAGCATAACAACCCAACCATAAAAATCTTAGCATTCTGTTTTCACACTTTACATAAACATAACAGAAAAATCTCAGAATTACTAAGGAGAGAATAACCTATTCCGTAAGTTTTAACTGCTTGATTTTTGTTACGTCCTATAGCCCATCAATTATCACGCAAAAAATCGCCAGTCAGAAAGTTGACTTGTATGATCTTGTCCCTATGCTAGATTAGTGATGCGTTAACTCTGAGTCCTTTTATTAGTTCTTCTTGCCTAACCCTGCCCATTGAGTCCAGAACATAATCACAGCCTGTACTTTATAAATCATGCATTTCAGACATGCGCAGTTAATATACAGGCAAAGCACACCTCATCACGCCATAAAACAGAAATTAACAATTATACAAGATTAAGCCAAAAGTGGCTGTGAGTGTGGCATATTGTAACTAATACATAGGGAATAAGTTAAGAATGGTAAATTGGATCACAATAGCCAATAAGTCAAATGAAAGGAATATATACAGATACCTGCGGTTATCCTTATAGTAGGGTGTAGTTAACATAACTTATTGTATCATAAATCTTAATTCAGTCATATATATTGATAATGACTGTTTCAAGTGATTCTGATTGATCTTTTTTTTCTTAAATAGTAAGTACTTGGACAAAATTTAAACCTACAAACAGATCATTAGTTACAGGTATTGTATATTTTATCTAATGAACATTTCATGCTTATCACAATGACCATGATAAATTATTATTTGTCTGTAAGTTTGGTGACAAGCTTTCGATTAATACAAGATACACTTGATTTTAAACTTTACCCCGGTTTCATTGTTGAGTAGTGTCTGACAAATCATGGATTATTAGTTCAATGTCGTTCATTTATGGTGAAGATAACCGGAAAAATATTTTTGAAGATCGGATTCGCATTAATGCACGTAGTTTAATGTAAACTAGTAAATATTCTGTATGTATTAATAACTACGATACCACAATGTAGTGTGCATGTATGAGACTTCTACTTTCTTATAAGTTTTGGTTAAATGGATTATCAAAATATTCCGAGTTAGAACCCTGGAGACTTATTTATTTAAGTAGATATGTATTCACAGTTACGAGACATTCGGTTTTATCCACTAATCAACATATATACGAAGTAGTTTTCAAAGTTTGGGCTATTCCATTTACTCGTCCATATCTAACAAAAACACAGAACATTTATTTCTGAAAATATTTACTCTTGTTTTTTTTTAGATTTGAAGTATTGTACGTTTATTGACTTCGCAAACTTGTTTACAATGTTTCAGTTTATTTGACAGTCAGTATGGCCTGCAGTCATTCTAACACATAATTTATGTAAACCTCAAATATACACTCAGAAGTGGAATACACGAGGCAATAGTTTCAGGGGCCTGATTACTTTGTTTGGAATGTGCTTTCGATAGCAACAAAAGTCAACCAGCAATTCTACGCTAACTGGAAAGATGAATACTACTAAATTTCTGCACTATTCAATACTAGAACTAAATTTCTCCCCACAGACCTCTTTATAAGCGTAGAATAATTGTCTTTTGGTTGGATTCAAGCTATAGTTAACCTTGAACTACAGTCAGTCTATGATGAATAATATCACTTTTTGTAACAATCTACTATTCGCTTATTACAAAGTAGAGACTATGTGAAGCTTTGATTGCAGGCAATATTCACGTTAAAAGATTGATGCATAATACCTAAAGAAAAGAGGATGCTTCTTGGTATATCTTCACTCAAGAGTTTTTAGTTACGAGGAATAATTGAAATTTTCTTAACCACCCGATATTTATTCTCTATGATCAGTCTATTCAATAGAAATATCACTTCACCATTCTTGTGAAGCTGTACTAGGTTTCACGGTCAAACGTATGTCATAGGTACTGCGAATTCGTCCTTGGAGAAAAATGAGACCGCCAGAAAATATAACCTAAGCGTCAGACTAATATTCATAGCAGTTTTCATATAGATTTGAGGAAACAAGCGACAAACAATATAATTTCATTTCACGTTAGAGAACGGTTATATACATAGATCTATAAAATTCGGTAAAATTGGACTGTTTATATAATCCAGACTAATACCTTATGAATTTCCAGACTGGTTTCCTTCAACTGATGTACAGACCTGATTGACATGGAGACGTTAATGTGTTATCGAGTGAAACAAAACGTTTTCTCTCGCACCAGCGGTTAATAGTGCAGCCGATAAGTTGAAATTAAATTCGCTCTCAGTTACTCCATGTAATATTATGTCTACAGAGTTCACTGTTGAGTAAATGCACTGTAAAACACACTTGTCTTACAAGTGTTTAGCAATTCTACAATAAATAAATACTAATCGTTTTATGAAAAAGTGTTTACTCAAATATCTAACAGTTAGTGGATATTTGACGCAAGTAAACTATCTAATAAACTGATGATGTCTTCTCAAATAAATCACTGAGTTTTAATACAAAACTGCGGAAGTCCATATGAGTAAAGAGAACAATGCTGATGTCAATAAAAGATGTTATATATATAAAGCACAATATGAACACTGTACATATACACATAAGTAGAATAGATGTAAATTAACTAATGTTACGAATAATTATAATAAGAAGAGAGCAGAATAATTATATTCAGATCCTTTATATGATCCTTATTTTAAGAGAAAGACAGGAAATAAATCCCAATGACATAACCACACACACATACAAAAAGGGGGATAGAGTTGCAAAAAGGTGAAGATGACATTGAAGCTGACATAGGAATGATGAACAATATACAATGACATCTTTATACTGCAATTTAATTATTTTGTAGGTAAAGGAGATAGAAAAAAACTGCTGTCCTGAATAACTGTTGTTTTACAGGAGTGGCCTGATAGGTATAATGTTTATGATTTGAATGCCAACAGAATAGGTTGTGAAAAAATGAGGCATGATGATCGCATTTCCCGAG